CTATATCTCCACTGTACATCCACATACTTTCTCTCCCCGAGGCATTCTCCCCGACTCAGCGGCATCTTCTTTCCAAGTCAAGTGGAATCCCTTCCTAGTCGATGCTGGCTGGCGCGCCTATTCGGAGAAGAGCAGGAGGTTCTTCGAGACGCTTCCTTTGCATTATCGGCGCCAGGACATTTCCATTCCTTTTTAGCTTTTCCTCTCTCAACCAGTCCTCCACCCCACAAATTACCTTTCCATCCTGCTCTCTTCCCCGGAAAATGCCAGGATGATTCCGCCCGGTAATCGCCGCGGCGATCCCGCGAATCTTGGCTTCAAATCAAGTAATTCAACTGCCCATTTATTTCTAGGAGGCGTCCAACGATCCTGGATGCGTGGTGGTGCAGCAGCAGCAGCTGCTGCTGCCGCTGCTGCCACTGCTCCTCAATCTCCTCACCTTTCTTCCACCACTTCGACATCCCCTTCAAGTGCGTCTACGACCGATTCAGCTGCTAGTACTGCGAGTGCTGCGACAAAGGGTACGGCTTCTACGGCAGTATCGGCTGCTTCGGGGGGCCCAGTTGGGAGTCCACGGCAGACGCGTCGGCGGGAAACGCCTCCTCGTGAGCCGCCCGTCGGCCTCACTACTACTACGGCCACCTCCACCTTCACCTCCACCGCCGCCTCATCTTCGCCCTCTTCCTCCACCATCACTTCCTCCGCCCCCGCCGCGAACCCTTCCCCTCTTCCTCCCCTCGGTCCGATGGCTCAACCTGACCCTCTTCAGGCCATCTCGGGGTCAGACGGGAGGAATGAGAAGGAAGCTCAGCCTAATCGCGGTGCCCCAATCCTACCCCCGCTTCGCAGCATCACCACCGCCATCTCTTCGACCCCATTAAACTCAGCGACGCCGACCCCCGTGACTGCTATCCCCCCGCGGACTTTCCAGCCCAACGCGCTTCCGTCCCCCGATCCCACTCTTCCACGTTCGCATGCCAGCCCAGTCAGTGCCATTGATCGCCATGGAGGAACGATTGGACCGGTTGGACTTGGTTCCTCCTCCCTAGCAACTCTGCCTTCCCCTCCGACGGGAGATACCCCGCCAATGTCTATCAATCGGCCACAGGAACCACTGTCCGGAGGACTGCCGACACCTGCAACAGTAGCCAATACCGTCATTCTGCCGGACCCGGTTCAAGGGGGCACCGTCACGCTCAGAGATCAATCGCAAACAGCTGGCAACGCCGAATCGCGACCACAACTGCCTGGACCTGGCGATCCTTCGGCGCGTCCTCAACCGGGCTCCTGGATAGGCATACCAGCATCGCACCTGTCTCAGGATTTCCAGCAACCGCCTGTCATCCGACCGGTTCCTATGTTGCCTATTGACCGGACGCTGTGCAAACAGTGGCTGGAGAAGCTGGAAACTTTTGCGGCTGAAGCGACTCGCAACAAGATAATCTCTGAGGTCATTGAGTCGCCGCGCGTTCGCCTGCTGCAGAGCGCCCTCCTGGACAATGACCCCGTCTACCTGGCTCTGCACCAGATGTATTGCATGGCATCCTACTCTCCCTCAGAACTGCGCACATTACCAGGCTTCGGTCCGGAGCAGGAGAGAGGATTTGCCGTGGTCAAGCAGCTTCTGGTGGATAACCGCCGACTTTCCGGAGACTTTCTGCTGTTCTGTGTGAATTTCCCGGAACCAATGCAACAGCTGCTAGCTCTTCCCTGGTGGCGGGATGCTTTAGCGCAGGTCATGAATTCCTTGGTCCTCCTCTCTCAAAGATGGGACACTTTTGAGCAGATTACGCGCAGGCGTGGTCTGCCGCCATTAATCGAGGAGATCATAATGACTTTCGACATCCGATCACATGTCACGCAGTACAACATCTTCCTGGCACTGTATCGTCGACTTCCTCTGCAGAACGGAGAGCACAAGCTTTTTGACATCTTCAATCGAGACGCCAAATACACAGATGAGCGTTTGGACTCTCCCAAGCCAGTGTCGGCATTGCGCGCCAAAAAGGAGAGAGACATCATTCTCTCCATGTATCACAAAGAACTCACATCCACTCCCCAGGCAACCACTGCAAATCAGCCTCACATTCACTCGCAACCGGTGGGGTCCCCCCGAGGCGCACCCCCTCACCTCCCTCAGCATCCCACATCAGCTGTGCCCGGATATGAGTCAAGGAGGAGCTCTCACGTTCCGATGCCTGGAAACGGACCTGTTCCTGCTCCAATGGCATACCCCTCGCAGACATACAACCCGCATTCGCCTCGCATGGTTCAGATGCCTCACCACCATCAACTATATCACCACCATAATCCTCCTTCGACGAGTTATCCACCACAGGTGGTGCCTTCGCAAGCGCAAACCATTCACCCAAGCCCCGTAAATACTCGTCCGCAAGGCCCAGTTCCCCCACAAACAATGTTACTTCCCTCGCAAGTAGCGTCGCCACACTCCGCCGGCGCCAGCGTTCCGACAGGAGTAGTCCCCTCAACAGCGGCTACTCCTGGTCTGTCCCCTCTTTCGCATGCCCCTGCTTCCGCTCCTACTCTCGCCTCGCCTCCTACTCCAGCTTCGGCCTCGGCTTCGGCTTCGGCTCCGGCTCCGGCCCCTACACAACGACGACGTGGCCGCCCCTCACGCTCCGCGCAGGCGAACAACCAGACCCCGACGCAGTACAGGCTGATGCCGCAGGCAAGCATGCCGAATCAGGGGGGCCCTCTTCCCTCTCCTTCGTCAATGGTCACTCCGCTTTTGCCTCCGCCAGGTCCACTTCCGCCGTCAAACCCACGACCTCATTCGCTGCGGGACGGACTGCATCAGGCCCATCTGCGTGGTCCTGTCAATCGCCTTGTCACTCACACTCCTGCCGGCCCGCAAGAGACCCCACTCTATCAATACTTTGATTCCTTCGCCGCCAACCCAACTCCGCTGGGCCAGGGCCAGTGGGATTGCCGCTTCGACTGGACGTTCAATCTGACCAAGTCGGACGTTGAGCGACTTGCGAAGATCGACCAACACGGTGGTAAACTGCAAGCGACCCGTTTCATGACAAACGGCCAGCGAATTTTCCGCCTGCGATGTATTCGAATCAACCCGCCAGCAAAAACTATAGACGACCACATCTGGTGCACTACCGAGACATGCTGGCCCAGCGTGGTTTACATCTTCGTCAACGAGGTGGAACTTTTCGCCCGGCGTCGGCAGCACAATGGCAAAGATATACCCCTCGAAATCACGGAGCAACTGCGTGAGGGTCCCAATACGGTCTCCATGCACTTCCTTCGCAGCCCGGCCGAGATGAGGGATCATCTGTATGCTGCGGCCGTCGAGATTCTCAATATCTCTGACCTGGTGTCAGCTTTGGACGCGGCACAGATCCTTCCTGCGTCGGAATCTTTGCAGCAAATTCAAAAGCGACTGACACCCAATCCCGATGATGAAGTCAGCATTGTGAGTGAAGACCTGGTCATTGATCTCGTCGACCCCTTCACTGCCCGTGTCTTCAACCGGCCTGTCCGCGGTCGCTTGTGCACCCATCAAGAATGCTTCGATCATGAGACCTACATCACCACCCGTGCTTTGAAGTCAGGGCGACGTACCCTACGAGAAGACTGGAAATGCCCTATCTGCAAACAAGACGCGCGCCCTCAGATGCTCTTGGTCGATGGGTTCCTCTTCAATATTCGCGAAGAACTGTCTCATACGGACCGGCTAGAGAATGCACGCTCGATCCGCGTCAAAAGGGACGGATCATGGACAGTGAAGTCAGACACTGGCTCATCCACAGACCGGACCTCCGCGAGTGCCGCCGCTCCAACGTCTGTGCCCCCGAAGCGTAAATCCAGTGATGCAGCGGCGTCTATGTCTCCTGCGTCGCAAAGGCCCAAATGCGAGCGCACGACATCCGACACTCTCATCCGATTTTCCGAACCGAAGGTGATCGCATTGGATTAGCGTGCGCCTGCATGCTTGTCTTCTATGTGATTCTATGGCGGAAAACAAAATTGCTCCTTTCTACGTGCCAAATTGATACCAGCCTCATTCCTTTCTTCCTTACTTTTTCCTTTCTATTTTCTTCTCATGGTTCTTTGCCATTCTCCTAGCCAACTGCTGTTGAGTTTCATTTCTCTACGACGCTACTTCCTAGCGTTGAGTCCTGTATGAGATACCCAATTTTTTTCTTTTGCACGATTTGTACCTAGATAGTTGCCGGCGTCTTCGTCTTCAAACCCTCTTTGCTTGACTATTCTGATTTCTTTCAACAAGTTGTCTTGCCATGGGAGGTTTGATCTAGGGCGTTTGTTTGTACCTAGAGGCGGGGACCCGGTGTCTTGTTGTTTCTAATTTCCCTTCTTCTTCTTGTGCATACTACCTTTTTCAAAAGCAATTCGGAAACCGATGCTGGTTGTCGATTATTTTGATTTTCGTATTCTTAAGCAGTAACAAGTATTGCAGATCTCACATAAGAAGCTGCCTAGAGCTGTTTCTTACGTACCCCTGGTAGTGTATATAGGTTAGGTACCGTACTATACTATCAAGCTTCTTCTAGTACTACTGATAGTAAGTGTATGCTATAACGACAATCATACTACTCCTATGGTGGTATAGTAAGGTCATGAGCTCGCCTCGCTTCATGTTCCATTCTGGTTTACAACTGCATGCTGATAGTAGTATGACATTCTGCAGTGCAGTAATACATACATACATACATACATATATATATACCACTAAGTAGTACTCATGGTTGTGTCTGCAAAGCGACTGGACCAGTCATGATTAGCACCACTGTGACAGCAGAATTAAAGGAAAAAAAAATGTATATATAATATTTACCAATTTATACTAGAGACTGTGTTAAGTACTGGCTTAACCCGCTAACTACCTGCTATCTATCCCCAAGTGCGAGCCAATTACTAACACACACAGACACACACATGAAGATGCAGTCCATACTTTGATACTGTGGTACATTTAAGAGATAGCTGCTGAATGTAAGCATATGTATAATCATTAAATTAATAGTCATATTTATAATCGATCTATCAACATCTCATCACATCGCATCACATCACACAATCATCACAGTCGCAGACGAGGACAAAACCTCACTTCCGAACTCGTCTAGCATGACTAACCAAATTCTCTATCACGCCTTCAAACGCCTCCTTTTCACTGACGAGTCCGTCCAAGCGTTTCAACCAGTACTCTAGTACCGAGCTTGCACGTAACGTTGCCGACTCGAGTTCCTGCACATGACCGCGGAGTTCTCCGTCCGTTAGGCCGTCCAGAGCTGCATCGGTCGTTGCGCACAGGCGGTGTACGGCCGGGAGATCCAGTTCAGGTGGCGGGGAGGGTTCTCGTCGGCGAGAGGTACGGGTTCTGGATTGTTGGTTGGGGCCTGGGCTGCCGGGGCCACTTTGTGTGCTGTCGCGCTTGGCTGCTAGGCTTTGGGAGCGGGAGTGTGCGGTTGGTGGGGTGGATGAGCGACGTGTGTCGTCGAGGTTGACAGAGGGGAGAATGAGTTTCTTTTGCTTGGAGGCTGGGAGAATCTCATCGAGGTCGACGGGCACGCCAAGTGAGACAAGGAAGAGTCGCCGGATGCGGGATTTCACCCAGTTTTGGGGCTGAAGTGGGGGAGGGGCCACTAGCTGAGACCAGAGGGAGAGGGAGCGTTCAGTGCTGAAGATGGCGGTAGGGTTGGGGATCGGGTCGAGGGGCTGCAGGCTGACGGTGTCTTTGGTGCTGGGGAAGAGGCGGTCGAGGGGGTCGGAGAGGGTGGTGTGAAAGTCTGCAAGGGAGGGAATGGCGTCAAGGTCGAGGAGCGGGGGCTGGAAACAAAGTTTAGCATTTCTTGCCTTAAATGTTTATACTAGAGGGCGTGCGCACGACTGAAGGAGGTGTGGGAGGCTGCGAGGGTTGTATCTCTGCTGGATCGTCCTCGACAGCCTCCATGGGCTCTTGGAAGCCATCGTCGAAGTCGTCAAAGTCTCCAAAGTCGTCGTCTTCTTGCTCCTCGGCGAAATCGTCAAACTCATCCGCACCGGTCGTATCAACGGCTGCGGCGTCGTTTACTGACGATTCTCGGCGGGTGTGACTTCGATGGCTTGCAGGCGAATCTGAATTGGTCAATCGTCCCTGAAACTTCATGTCGTAATTTAACCGAAATCCGGCTTACCTGGTGCATCGGGGATGGTCTCGGTGTGGTCTGGCTCCGAATCAATCGGCTTTGGCTGGTGAGCAACAGGACCTTCTTCGACATCGTCCTCGTTGGATTCCACGCGGGAGAGCAGCGTCTCCGGAACAGGGGTGTCGGCCGCACTGGCCTCGAAGGACCCCGGTAAAGGGGACGGTTCATCTGAATCTGAATCCGACGCCTTCTTCACCACATCGGGCACTGCATCTGCTTTTCTTTTCTCATACGCTGGGGTGCCGGGAATATCGCCATGACTGGGTTGGTCTAAGTCGACTTTCTCAACCACTGTCCGCGGAATTGATGTCGGAGTTACAGGCCGTTCGCCGCTCGCTGAAGCGCTTCTGCTGCGTGAGCCCTCCGGGATAACTTCAATCTGGTCTGGAACGGCATCCTGGTCCCTGATTTCATAGGCAGCGGTTCCAGGCACCTCCCCATGCGATGGTTCCTCGTCGACCTTCTCCACACGGGTTAAGGGGACAGGGGAAGCGCGGCCGGATGGCGGGTGGGATTCAGGGCGTTGGTGCCCCTCGCTGGCGTCTGAAAAATGTTCGTCGTCACTGTTCGTAGCTGTAGATGAGATGTTAATTCCGAGCCATTGGATTCCCAGTGCTAGACTATGCTGCTTACTAGATTCCTGAGCCCCCGGGTCTTCCAACTCCACGCTCTTCCTCGGGGGCTCCAAGTATGGACTGGACGGACGGGAAATCCGTTCGGACATCAGGAGCAATCAATATTGGAAAATTGTATATCATGCAGACAAGGACACAGAGGCTCGTGTAAGAGACTGAGCCCGAAAAGCCAGGGGAGAATGGATATGAAACGGGGGGACGATGCTGTCCTTCTGATCGTCGGGTTCGATGTGAGTCTCGAACGTGGCCTGAGGCACCCAGAGGCTCAGGCGACATCATCCGAGGCAATAAGGCACCAAGGCAGCAGGTAGTCTGTCATAAGTGTTATGTTTTAATGCCTCAGGCATAAAGCTAGCCGCCAGCCGCGACAAGCGCGGCCCAGCAAAGAAGATCAATCGACCTCCAGTTCATAGTTCAAGACATCCACTGTCGATTGCTTTGCCTGTGTTTGGACGAGCACGGCGCGACCTTTACGCTCAGCCCGAATTGACTTTTCTGTCTCCATAGGGCATCTTATCTCCGGGCGCAGTAAGTGTTGGTTCGCTTTCACCTTCAGCTCATCTCGAATCCCGTCCCCGACTGACTGTTTTGTCTTTTTTTCCCACCTCCAGGGCAGCCCTGTTAATCCCCGTTGTTATCCACCCAACACCATGTCCAACCTCTTTTCTTTCGACTCGGCCCCTGGCGGCGCGAACAAGGGAGGTCTTTTTGGATCTGGTGCTACGAACACTGGCTCAAGCGCTGGCTCGGACACACTCTTTGGAAATGTAGGAGCTCCGACGAGCGGCACTTCTTCGCCTTCTTTGTTCGGAGGCGCAGCTGGCAGTGGAACTGGAACAGGCACTGGTACTTCGTCGCCTTTCAGTTTTGGAGCTCAGAGCAAGCCGGGAGCCACCGGTCAGACACCGTTGTTCGGCAACGCATCACAGACTCCCAACAAGTCGACCGAAGCTGGTAGCTCGGGGCAGACAGCTACGAGTGGGCTCTTTGGAAATGCCGCAAAGCCTGCAGGGGGTCTCTTTGGCAACGCTACTTCTACGCCCGGTCAAACAGGAGGTTCTTTGTTCGGCAATGCCTCGTCCACAACGCCCGCTGGTCCTCCTCCGCAGGGCGCGACTGGCCAGACGCAGACACTCTTTGGACAGGCAGCACAAAAGCCTGGCGGTCTCTTCGGAAACGCGACCTCGACTACCTCCACCACCTCATCGGCTGCCCCGTCGTCTACTACCGCTACAGCCCCTGCTACCACTACACCGTCGCTGTTCGGAAACGCCAACACAAACACCACAACTTCTACCTCCAACACTACGCAACAGCCATCATCTGGGGGTCTTTTCGGTGGGGCGAACACAGCGCAGAAACCTCTCTTTGGCACAAATCCGGCGCCTTCGACGGGAAACAGCCTCTTCGGAAACGCCAAACCAGCAACAGGCACCAATGACAGCACTCCAAACACCCTCTTTGGAAAGGCACCGGGGGCGCCATCAACGACGACGACCCCCGCCGCAGGAGGAGGAGCTGGTGCGCAGACATCTTCTCTCTTCAAGGCCCCATCATCTGGAGCTGATGCCACCAAGCCAGTCTTCCCCTCTCTGGGAACTCCGTCCTCAACCCCTCAAACCTCTACGACTCCAGCTGCCTCGTCCGCTGCGCCACAGACTTCCTCTCTCTTCCCAGCCCTAGGTGGAGCGTCCTCGTCCGCGACTCCATCATCCACACCCGCTCCCTCTGGAGGCTTGTTTGGCGGTGCTCTCGGTGGCGCTAAGTCCACAGCAACAACCGCACCGGCCACTACAGCTACCGCAGCTCCCGCGACACAACCTGCGGCAGCCACCGGCGGCCTGTTCGGTAAGCCCGCGGAGACCACCCCGTCCACACAGCCAGCCAGCACTGCTGCCGGAGCCACCTCTGCCACGACGGCCAGCGACAAGCCCACCCTGACCGCTACCTCGAGCGCCACTTCTTCGGCGACCACCGGCACAGCAGGCGCAACCGGCACAACCACCGCCGCAGGCGGAATTGGCCTTGGTGCCTCCACCGCTGGCCCTACCCCTCCTGCGCAGTCCCGCCTGAAGAACAAGACCATGGACGAGATCATCACCCGGTGGGCGACAGATCTGACCAAGTACCAGAAGGACTTCCGCGAGCAAGCAGAGAAGGTAGCAGAATGGGATCGGATGCTGGTTGAGAACGGCACCAAGGTGCAGAAGTTGTACGGCAGCACGGTTGACGCCGAGCGCGCGACCCAGGAAGTTGAGCGCCAGCTGGCGTCCGTCGAGGGCCAGCAGGAAGAGCTCAGCTCCTGGCTCGACCGGTACGAGCGTGAAGTGGACGAGATGATCTCGAAGCAAGTTGGACCGGGCGAGACTCTCCAGGGACCTGACCAGGAGCGTGAACGGACGTACGTTTATCAATAACCCTTCAATTAACCTTCGCTATGGTGCTAACAGCATGATAAAACAGATACAACATGGCCGAGAAGCTCTCCGAGCGCCTGGATGAAATGGGCAAGGATCTGACCAGCATGATTGAAGAAGTCAACGGCGCGTCCTCGACTCTCAGCAAGACGAACAAGGCTGACGAGCCGGTACGTATCCTATCCCCTTCTCGTCCAAATCCTTAAGAACTTGTGCTAATACATGGATGATGAAATATAGATCTCGCAAATCGTCCGCATCCTCAACTCCCACCTCGCGCAACTGCAAGTTATCGACCAAGGCACCAGCGAGCTTCAGGCCAAGGTCGACGCCGCACAGAAGGCCGGCCAGTCCCTCTCTTCGCGGTTCGGATATGGTCTGGGTAGCTCTACTATGGGCGGTAGTGCGGCGGATGATTTCTATCGCTCTTACATGGGACGTCGATAGAGGGTGTGGATTGGGTTTCTGGTAAACAAACGGGTACGGGATGGTTTTTCTTTTTACTAGGATTGGTTGTTAGTTTCTATTCTACGTCTTATTCTTTTTCTACTATTGTTGTTGTTGTTGTTGTTCCATGCTGTTGTTGCTGCTGTCCTGCTGCTGGTGGAGTCATGCAATGCAATGCAATCAATACAATGGAATGATATGAAATGGAATGGGAATAATGATAATCGCCCATCAATGTGTGTTTGTGTAAGCTTGTAGGATATTCCAGCTATGCTATGTATTGTCTTGTACAATGTAGAGAGGAGAGATTACATGTTTTGCGTATGTAGGTAGGTAGGTAAGACACATGTCATGTCATGTGATATCATATCAAAAAAGACATAAGGTTATGTATCCACGCTGATAGTGATCTGTCTGGTTGATCGATCCGAATTCGCTCGGTATTCCGATAATAGTAGAGTAGAGTAAAGTAGAGTAGACAGGTATGAGTAGGTAGGTAGGTATGGTAGCAAATCATCACATCATCCATATGATAGGAAACACAAAGAAGAGAAAGAGGAAAGATATTAGTTATCTTAGTTTTGCTCGCCGCCCTGGTTCTTGGTGAACTCGTCACTAATAAATATAATTGTTAGCTAGCTATACGCCCAGGTACATGACCGTATCGTAGAAAGAAACAGCGAACATACATGTGCTTATCCAGCTCATCAAGGTGCTTGCGCTGCTCGTTGAGCTTGGCCTTCAGGGCACGGAGCCTATACATCACCAGATCATTAGCTTTTCTTTCCCTGGAATAGAGTAGTATGAGGGGGGCGGGTAGGTCAGGTATATACGCACTTCTCCATCTCCTTCTCGTGAACATACAAGTTCTCCTGGGCGGCTTCGCGCTTGACGAAGGAGTCACTGTTTCAATCAGTTAGTGTTAGGTACTGGTGATGAAGATGATGTCATATGTTTCTACCGCATAGGAGAGTAGGTATTGATGACACTATGTAGAGGGTAGTATTAACGTACGCATGCTGAGAACCGCCCGGCCGGGGAGCACCAGTATCGCCAGCACCCATTCTGGGAGCGAGAGCAGAGAAGGAACGAGTAGTGGTGGTGGTGAGGAGGCGGGTAGAGGACTTGGAGATGGATTGGCGGAGCATGGTTATGGTTATGGATTTGCTTTTGCGGTGATGGATGGGATGGAAGATAAGGTAGGTAAGTTATGGATGGAAGGTCAGGTGGTTGTCAGATTCGTTGGATGGATGGATGGAAGGTTCAATGAGGAGAAAGAGAGAGTGTGAGTGGTAGTAAGACTGTCAGGTACTTAAGAGTAAGTTGTTTAATGCAACCGGGTTGGCAGGCTAAGATTACCTAAGGTGTCGAGTCCGGAGCGGATGACGTCGTTGTTGGTTGCCGGGTGGGATCATGGAGGGATCATGTGATGTGGCGAGGTGAGTCAGCGGGTGGTCTGGTCAGGTGAGTGTCAAGTGACGGACAGGGGAATGGGATGGTAGCCTAATTTGGTAGGATTATTATTATTACTACGTATTATGGGGGCGGTGTTGGGATGTTGAGATGGGAACTAAGTAAACCACTTTATCATTGATCCTTTCCATGGTATGGTTATTTTATTACTTTCTTACTCTGTTTCTGAATCTAAGTTGTGTATCCAGTTGCATTGAGAGTTGCCTCTTCATTTATCTACTGAGGATGCCAGGCAAAGGGAGCATTCCACTAAAAACAAAAATCCCTGAATGACGATGATATGCGGATTATAGGATCGCCTCCTAATGAATAGTTCAGCGCCATCATTACACAGTAATACTCCCCGAAGTTCCAGAAGCAATCCCTTGACCCATTTCAATCAATTCATCAATCAATAATCACTAATTTAGACTCCTCAAACTAGATAGATAATATACTAAGTAGACAGATAGACTGGTCCCAAGCGCCATCCGACGGTTAGCAACTTCTCGTCTTTGATTGACCCTCTTTTCCCCCTTCCAATAATGATCCGCTGCCAATCCATCTGGTTCGGCGACGGTCTGGGATCTCAGTGGTGGGCGGGACGATTGGCGGAGGTGAAATAGGGATGACGCTGGGAGGGCCCACCGAACCACACAAAGCCAGACCCGACAGGATGAGGAGAGATGAGAAGAAGAGATGGGCGTCAAGACTTGGACACTCAGGAGACCAATCTCATTCTTGGGGGTGGATAGAGAGATGGATGAATGGATGGATGGAGTTGACGGTCTATCACTGAGAGCATTGTCTGTAACGAGGATCTTCTATTGCTGTCTACAGTACGTCCTTAAGGTATGCCCATTGGATGGATGGGGTGGCATCATAGAAGACAGCCATGATGTGCAAGTTTTCTGGGATAGGCAGCGTCAGTGTACGTCGCTCAACAGACAAGGCAGGCCAGAAGAATGACCGCCGGGATTCTTTCGGATTCTCTGCGTCTCTACCCCGTGAAAGGTTGTCTGTCTGTCTCCCTCCAGTGCCTCCAGTGCCTCCACCCCCCGTCACAAAGAGGAGGAAACCCACTGGAGAGGGTCAATAATTCCTGTGATTGATTTTCTTGGTATTATTAGTAGCAATAATCGTTCAGTAGTAGAATAAGTAGTAAGTCGGGGCCGGGATCGGGGAAAAGATTGGTGAGTGTGTGAGTGAGTGTGTGTAAGACCGACTCCATCATGGGCTGGCCATTTGGGTTATCTTGACTTTAGGGGGAAGTAGTAGTGAGTAGTGAGAGAAAGTATGGGGAGGCACAGCCCGGAAGCATTCATAGTATGATGATTAGTGTAGGGAGGACTGAATTGGAGAGAGATGATGATGAGGATTCCTGGCCAGTAAGTAGTGACCGCCAACTCTGGCTGTCAGTCTGTCTCCTTTCTGGCCGAGTCTCCCACCCCCTTCCGGCAGGCCAATTCAATTCCCATTTTCCCTCTTCCTCTGCCTCTCCCCTCTCCCTTCCCTTCCTCTTCCTTCTCCTCCTGCTCTCCCTCTCTCTCTTTCTTCCCCTCTTTCCCGCCTAACTAACTTCCCTAACTACTACTGCTGCTGCCAATCCTGCAACTTTCTCTCTCCATCCTCTCTCTCTTTCTCCTACTACTTTACTGCCACACACACACTCTCTCCTCGGTCATTCTGACTTAACTCAACTCACGTCCCTTTCTCTCTCCTCTTGGTCCGTACTTTACCCTTTACCCTTTCCATCCACATCCACATCACACTTCCCCCCCCTCCCCCTGCTTAAGTCATACTCCCACCCCCCCATTCCTTAAATTAAAAAAGGAAAACAAAAAGACCAGGACTCGACCAGCCCAAATCCTCCTCCCCCAATTTTATTCCTCCATTCAACTCTACTTTCCTTCAATTCCCTTCTAACCTCCCTCTCTTTCCTTCCTTGTCAGACTATAGAATACGTCTTTTACTATCTGTTGCTTCATCTCAGGTAAGCCATTCTTCTCGTTTTCCTTGCCGTGTCCTTTCCCCCTCTCTTCCGCGTACCAGACAATCCCAATGCCCATCCCCCCCTCCATCATCGTCATCCGCCGCTTTCCCCTCCTTTTCTGGCCGCGATCCCGATCGCAAATGGCGGGGTGTTGGCGGCTGGAGGCTCTGCATGTTCAGGACTTTATTCCGGACATGGGTACGCGCGCTGAATGGCCGAGTCTGGCTGGAGAGGTTGAGAGGGTGTGAGGAGGGATCCTCCTCGTTCCCTTTCTTTCCCTCCCCTCCATAACCGCCCGCCTAGACTGCGCTCTGGGAACGCAACACAGGCAGGCAGTCCACGGCTAGCTGAGTGGAAGGATCCGGCTGAATCACCACCCGCTGTTACCAAGCCTCCCCCGATCGTCGCAATGCATCCTGGTCTTGGGGTGTGCGTAATGATTAGGGGTCGTGATGGCTGGGAAATTCGACTTGTTTTTCTTCTTCCTTCAACGGCCCTCATGATGCTGGGAGACCTGATACGTATGACGGGGATTTCCCGGCAAACCAGGGAAAGGAGGGGAGGCGTTATCGCTTCCGTGTTCCTTGCACCACTTGACTTCACAGCCTCACTTTTGCCCTGTGACTGCCGCCTGCCCCTCGCTTCTCTGCACTATCGATTCTCGTCTACTGTGGCGCTTCCTCCCCAGTCGCCCGCACTCTATATCCGGAAATCTATTTATTCGCAATCTCGCCCACTAACATCTCTTTTGTCATTCAGATAATCTTTCACAATGGGTCACGAAGATGCTGTCTACCTCGCCAAGCTCGCCGAGCAGGCTGAGCGCTACGAAGGTGCGTCATTCTTCCTCTTTCCGACCGCCCACTTTGCGGCTACGAGTCTCGTCTCATACTAACATGGCCGCCCCTGTTCCACAGAGATGGTTGAGAACATGAAGGTCGTTGCCTCCGCCGATGTAGAGCTCACCGTCGAGGAGCGGAATCTCCTGTCTGTCGCCTACAAGAACGTCATCGGTGCCCGTCGTGCGTCCTGGAGGATCGTCACCTCCATCGAACAAAAAGAAGAGTCCAAGGGCAACGAGTCCCAGGTCTCCCTCATCAAGGAGTACCGTCAGAAGATCGAGGCTGAGCTGGCCAAGATCTGCGATGATATCCTCGAGGTTCTCGACAAGCACCTGATCCCCTCTGCCCAGAGCGGCGAGTCCAAGGTCTTCTACCACAAGATGTGCGTTGCGAACCCACGCTGTTCCCACTCTCGATGCGATCGCGATCCATGACTGACGTGTTTCTTTCCGTCTATTAGGAAGGGTGATTACCACCGTTACCTTGCCGAGTTCGCCGTTGGCGACCGCCGCAAGGGCGCCGCCGATGCTTCCCTCGAGGCCTACAAGGCCGCCACTGAGGTTGCTCAGACCGACCTTGCTCCCACCCACCCCATCCGTCTCGGTCTCGCCCTGAACTTCTCCGTCTTCTACTACGAGATCCTCAACTCTCCCGACCAGGCTTGCCACCTGGCCAAGCTCGCTTTCGACGATGCCATTGCTGGTACGTGTGGACGCTACTGCTTGACCGTCGATCCGGAGGCTAACAGACATTGCAGAGCTCGACACCTTGAGCGAGGAGAGCTACAAGGACTCCACCCTGATCATGCAGCTCCTCAGAGACAACCTGGTAAGTTGATGTGGTCGCATTCGTGGCTTTGGATTATGCTAACACTCGGTAGACTCTGTGGACCTCGTCCGAGGCCGAGCCCGCCGCCGAGGCGAGCGCCCCCGCCGAGAAGAAGGATGAGGCCCCCGCTGAGGGCGAGAAGCCCGCCGAGTAAATTCATTAAAGATGACAAAAGGACTCGCGTCCGGACTTGGATAGGGTCGGCCGGCCGACAATCTGGATCTTAGACTCAGAAGGCCCGGGGTTAGGAAGAGGATGATGAAGCCATTGCGCGCTTTGGGGTCCGTTCTATCCGGCGAGCCCGGAAGGGATGGGGCTTTGTTGGCCATTTACTGGCTGACAGGTCATGAACTTTGGAGTCATGCATTGGATCTCTCGTCGCCTTCTTCGTCCCTGCTGGCCTTTTGGTGGCGTCGTTTGATGCCGTCAGTGGTCTCGGTCTGGTCTCTATGTCCTCGGATTGTTCGCGGGGCTTCCTTTTATATCTTTATGATTTCGATTTTTGCCTATTGTCGCAATTCCCCCCCAAAGAATACCTTTCCTTGCCATCCACCCGCACTTCCACCCTAGTCAGTTCCCACCAGGACGTTGACTCTTGCTTCCCGAACTCTCTTGGTTTTACCCACCTTGTGCCACGTACGGCGTTTGTTTGTCGCCTTAGCTGAGTTTAGATCTAAAGCCCGGCAGTGGCTAAAGAAATTTGAAATTTATGATCAAACATGGACATTCGTAAAACCTCATACAACGCCAATCCTTGATAGAGAAAGAGAAGAGAGGATGAAAGTACGAACCAAAAAGCGAACCAAATCCCGACCCAATCCATTCTATGAATAACCGACATGCATGCATGCATTCATCCAGCCATACTTCCATCCCTCGCGGATACTCCGGACTCCCCTTCCGGGAGGTCTGTATGATATTTCTGTATTGCATACAACGCACATGCATACATGCATACCATTCCATCCAACCAACTTCTATCCCTCGATCAAAAAGTACAATGCAGTATGCACGCAGCATTGTACCCTTTCCCCCTTTGTTTGACTTCAATGAGGCTAGTACGTAGTTTAGTAAGTAGGGTTGGAGCTATGTATAGATCATCTTCTTTTTCTTTTCTTTTTTTTATTGGGCTAGGAAGTACTATGTACATGCATGTAAGGACCGACTACTACTTTCAACTCAAGTGTACTGCTTAGTATAAATAGTATAGATTTCTTTACGTATGCATCTTAGGTGCCTGAGTATGGGGTTAACTAGGTAAGTAGGTCACTTGATCGTATTTTTAGATTTGAAATTGGCGTGTAGGTGAGGTACTTAGAATGAATGAATGAACTAATTGAGTCTGCTGCTTACTTAGTATAGTGAGTGATGTGTGATAGATGTCAGTGACTGACCCATCAAGCCATTTATGTACAATTATTTGGCTACTTAGTAACAGTGCTGGTGGCAAATAGCAGTAAGAGTAGAGATAGAGAGAGAGAGAGAGAGAGAGAGAGCATTTTCCTTTCTGCTTTACATAGAAAGAACATAGAAAAAAATGAACTAACTATTAAAGTAGAATAGAGTAGTCATCAGTCAAAGGTAAGGCTCGATAGTTATTCATCCATCTACTAGTTATGAAATCATACTTCGGTTTTATTAATCCGTCCAAGGATGGATGGATGGATTTCTTCCATGACTTTTTACTTACTTATTTCCTCTACCAGACTAAATAGCCTGATGACAAATGTCAGAGAGTATTTCATTATAGTAATACTATGCGCTTTCGCATTTGAGAATATCTTAACTAATTAAACTAGTATGTAAACATTTCTATTCCGGTATCTTTTACTTCTTTACTAGTCAACAGTCTCAATGGTGAGATACAGAACTATACTATGAAGTTAAGCTCACGCTGTAAATAGGATTATCAAAAGATCAGCATCTTACTACTAGTAATCAATACTTGTTATTCCAAGGTAGAAGATGTGTGTGTGTGTGTGTGTGTGTACCTTAACCACCAAACCATTAACCAACCCTACCTAACGAGCAAAAAGTCGACTATACTCCCAACCCCCAAGCTTAATATCATCCTAACCTAAGGAATCATCCAAGACATCTCAACAAGGACTCAAAAGTACAAAGTACGATAATAGTAGTGTACAATCCAATCCATCCACACTCCCCCCCACACCACACCACCGATCTAGTCTCTAGTCTACTAATCCAATATACTCCGAAGTACTCCGTACTTTCTCCGACTATTCCCACCAAGGAAATAAGTAAGTAAGTAAGTAAGTAAGTAAGTGGGTGGATCAGACAGAATAAGAATCCTAAGACGGGGCGGGGCGGCTACAAACGTACGATCTTCGACCGAATTCGGTATATGTTGACGATGATGGGCGGTAATGGGTGAAGAAAGAGTTGCTAGTTGACAGGTATGAAACGGGGTATGATCTTGGTCAACAATTTCTGAGTGTTCTGGTTTGATGAAAGGACTCCTGTGTGGGTTGTTGTTCCCTCCATTGACGTGTCGAGCTGTCAACTAGACTAGGAAAATGCGGTGTGATAGCTTCGTACTTCGTAGGTATGGGGCCTAGCAATTCCATACATGTACAAAGTACGGAATACTGGTTGTCGCAATACACGTACTCATGGACTTTTACATCTACGATCTATTCTCTAGGACTCGGTTTTGTCAATTTGTTTCTCATTTAATGTATCAACCGCTCGCTTCTGGGTATGTAAGCAAATGTCTTCAGAGCCAAACGAAAATCAAACCAAGTCGAATCTGAATCGTCAGTCCGGGACGATTCCTTCAATATACATATCGATGGGCAAAGGAGGCGGTGGGGAATGGGGTGGGAAGAGATCGGGGGAAAAGGAATAAGGAGGAGAGGCGGCGATGAAACAGGATGGGGAGAGGATGAGGATGATGTAAACCACATGAAGATTGGCTGCTCCGTGAAAATGCTTTCCCGCCTTTTTGCAGACCTTTGCAAACAAATGCGCCCAGTGCGGTTCCAAATGTCAGAAAGTGATGAAATGAACACAACAAGTCTAAATAACGGTTCCCAGTCAAGTGTCCCAACGCCGCGCGTGCTATGCCAATACACAAAGCCTCCGGTATGATATGACAGATAGGAAAGTAAAAATAGAGGGATCAAAAGAAAAAGGAAAAGAAAAAAAAAGGTAAAAAACAGAATATGAACAGAAGAAAGGTAAGACCAGAGCACAAAAAGAGTATGTCTGAGTCGTGCACCGGATCGCTGCCAAGACGGTAGGCGTCGATCAAATTCCCTGGTAACCCCCGGTATGTGTGGATGATGTCACGACCGCAGCAGCTTCTGCGAACCCCCAACCACACGCGGAGCGCATTGACATGGGTGGCCATAGGTGAAGCAAATCCAGCGTCGTCAGCAGATTACGGGTAGCAAGTTGGAGGTGAAGGTATGGGGCTGTTCATCGTGATCAACCGCCATGTCCCCGTTGCACGATCAGGTCCGTCTAGTAGAGTGAAGAAACGAATCGAAGGAAGGGATCTATTTGCGAAAATTCACACCTCGGGCCTTCAGCGTTGCACAAGGTTCCACCTGATGAAGCCGCAGATGTCATTTCGGAATCCCAGACACGAAGCAGTAAGTCCAAGCGGATCTTCGCGCGCATGTATCGTGTCGTATTGCTCAAGTATGCGCGGCAGCCAAGAGCGTCCCATTCCGACATATGTGACACCTGCAGTATGTAGCGAAGAAGTGTGGCATTCACCCAAGTTCGAGGATTTATGAGGTGGGTGAATGAGAGACGTGAAGGTCATCGCATAGAAGGTTTGAGGTTTCGTAAATTTGATCTTATCGTTCGCTTTCTCCAGGGCAGCGAATTCCCGACCGCTTATCTGTATCGAATAGCCGGGATGATGATGCGGCGCCGGAGCTATTTCTGCGACTTTTTGACCTTGGTGCTACCCCTGTTCATTTCGCTCTTGGTCATGTTGCGGGTTAATCCACCAATGTAGTCTTGAAGGAATCGATTCTCGCTTTCGAGCTTATCATGGTCGGATTTGACGGCTTCGATACGTTCGGCGAGCGCCTGAAGGGAGGACTGGAGGGCCTTGGCTTGTCTGCCGAGAACACGTAACACATTAGCATCGCTTCTTCCCCCCTTTCTGGTCTCTAGCGTCACTTGGCCGGAGGTTTTGGGGAATTGTCATTCGACTACTCACTCTTGTAGCGTCTGTCTGGCTTCCTTGCCCAGTCGCTCCAAATCAGCCGAGTTGCGTCGAGGGCTCATGGCGCGCGCGTCGTCAGGGGGGAATTCCTCTTCTTCGATTTCGATTTCAGGATGATCCCGTGGAACTAGTATCGAGGCACTCGGTTTCCGACTGGCCATACGAGGTCTCTCTGAGCGTCCTCTACGTTCGGTTTCGGCGTCGGAGATGGAGGATGAAGATGAGAGAGAAGACATGTGCGAACGACCGTTATCGTTGGGCTGGGGCAGGGTTGGCACAGGAGAAGAACCGTGCACATCTGATGTTGACGCCATGGTTTTTTCAGATTCTGGTGGTGGCGCCGGTGGTTGAATTTAAGAGTTTCTGTGGTTGACGGTGGCTTGGAAGCGAATGAGAAAAAGTCTCGGGGCGGTCGCTGAGGCAGGCTTTCCACGGTCGAGGGGTAACGGAATAGAACTACTCCCGCAAAGAAACGATTTCAGACACAGCAATTGAATATCTTCTTCACAGCTGGGCTGTGACTACCTCTAGCGATGACTTCAGATGGGAAGATCTGCGTTGTCGCTGGAGGTAGCTGGTGTAAGAGCGAGAAGTGGGTTGTTTCCCAGGGCGGTTGTTTCGTCGAGGATTCTCGGGCCGGAAAAAGTAAAAAAGGGACGACGAAAACAGCTGGGAAGAAGCAAACAGGTTCCGGCTGCCAGGGAGGAAGAGATCTCGAGGAAGAGATCAGATCAGATTTCTTCAAGACGAGAGGGGAGGCAGAGTTGGAGAAATGAAGTCCGTCAAAGGGGAGAGAGCGACTTTGAGGGGGTCAGGGAGGGACCAGAGCGACAAGCCGTGGTCCGGGTTAAGCGAACTGGAATTTCGGGGGGGGGGAGGGCGACGAGAGATGAGAGAGAGAGAAAGAGAGAGAGAGAGGTGGAGGGAAAAGACAACCACCACTTTCAGGACAAAGCAATTCAAGGATGTACCTGAAGTGATTGCCAGCTATATTCGCCTTTGTTCCTTTCTTGGGGCAAGGCAGTCTATAGGGATTAAGGATTAGGGATTAATCCAAGGTGTCGAACCCGGGTTTGAGGAAAGTTCGTTGGGCAGTCCGAAAACGGGCGGACTAAAAACTTGGACACGGGGGGAAGAGGGAGGTGGGTTTTTGGTGCTGATTTGGGTTGGGTTCGGTGGTGTTTTAGTGCAGTAGTTGCTGCGAGTGGGAAAGGAATAATAACGCTGCTGAGTGATTGATTGATGAGCGACAAGGTCTGGGGGGG